CAAGTGTTCTACCACATGAGCCATAGCGCCACTTCCAGCTTTTTTTTTCTGCTTATATGGTGCTGAGGAATTGAACCCAGGGCTTCGTGCATGCAAGACAAGCGCTCTACCACTGAGCCACCTTCCCAGCCCAAAATTAGACTGCTTTTGACAACAGGTTTTGTTATCCTTCAATTCCAAGTGATTCTCATTTAAGCGTGCAGAGGAATATCTTAGTTTTCTTCTAATACTAAGGACTTACTATATACCAGAAATTACACTAAATGCTTTACATGTACCACGTGATCTCCGTATCATATCTCTGAGTAATTTCTATTGGCTCTGCTTTTATAGAAGACTAGGAATCACCTCAAGATCAGGCAGTGAGGAATAGTAGTGAAGGGCTGGGCAGAATACAACAACCAGGCTGCCTGACTCCTGCCAAGTTTGGGCTGCTTTTGCTATGCAGTCCACTTTTCTCCAATTCAGTGTTCTCTCCCATTCTTTTACATTTCCAGTGATGTTTATTCATCCTTTGGGGTCAGTGGACACTAGGAAAAAAAATAAGTAACCAAGAAGAGAATTACAACATATATTTTTAAGTGTCTAAGCCAAAGGCTAGCTCTACAACCCTCCTGTGAGTACCTGTTTCCTACTTTTCAAGTGTTTGGAGACACTTTAAGGACAAATCCTGAATGATTTGGTTGAATATGCTTCTTAGGTGATCATAATGCCTATTTGCCTTGGATGAGAGTATTTGTGCTAAGAAAATGATAGAAACTATCCTATCTTTTATTTTACCAATTTCATGTGCCTGATGAATTTTTAAGAGTTTGTTTTTAGGCTTGATAGTTGAAATGCCTTCAAAATATGGAAAACTGCTAGGCTTTCTCCGCAAGCAAGGAAGGAACAGTGTTTTCATGGTTATGATTTTATGGTGTGGCTGTCATGAAGTTGCCCCTGAAGTTTTGTTCACCAAACTGAGGCATTGGTGTTCCCAGAAGTGGGTATTGGCTGTCTCCATCTTGTTCTAAGTGAAGGAAACAGCATAGCAACAAAGCTGCTTTTTATGTCTTATCAAATCTGTAGTTGAGCTTTGGCTTTGTCACTTATCTTTCTGATCTAGGGCAGTTACTTATCTATACACTGAAAATGGTAATAGTTTCTGTATCATAGGGTTTTGATGAATGAATGCATACTGTGGTATTCTCAGTCAGTATATTGAATGTGAACAGTAATTAAAACATACTTCTCCTATCTTCATGTATACTGATGATTCCCACATCTCCATCTTTAACCCCATTTCTCTGGCCTCTTCCCAGCTACTCCCAGCTTTCTCTCTCCTCCTCCTCCTCTCCTTCCTCTTCCCCTCTCCTTCCCTCTTTCCTTATAGTCATATCTGGCAGTCGTCTTAGACTCTACACCCAGCTTCTCTCTCCCTCTCTCCTCTACCTATTCCCCTTCACCCCTCTCCCTCCGACAGTAATCCTAGACTTCCTCCTAGACCCATTGCTTCTGATGTTTCTAGACTGTCCATTCTTTTCCTAACTCATCCTGTTGAGTCTTCACTTCCATTGTCATGATTTCATTTTTCTGAAATAGAGCAGATTGGAATCTTTTACCCCAAACAGGCATCAGAAATTGATTACCTAAAGGTGTTTGATCTTTCAGGATTTGGCTATAAAAAGTCAAACAACTGATAATAGCCATGTTATTTGACTTTGACATGAGGTTTTGAGTCTCTCTGCTTCCTGTTTGTGTTTTTATCTATATCCTGTGGCCCTAAGCAAAATGAGTATTTCATGCCTTGAAGAACAGACTATAGAAGTCTTCACAGTAGGGACGCTGCAAGGAAGAAGATAGTAGGGGCTGCAGTGGCATGGACTACCGAATGACTAAGCTGCTGTAAAGGGTCCGTGAGGGAGGACAGGTCCTGGTTGTTGCTGCTTTGAAGAGTAGTCTCTTAGTATTTGCCAAGAAAGGTAGTGAAATAAAGTCCACATAAAATAAATGTCTTGGGTAATGAAAGTTGTTCACAAGTGGATTTTTGTTAAGGAAAGACTTTAAAGAGATCTAGGAGTAAGTTGAATAGGTGCCCCAGGAAGATGAAGGGTGTAAAGTTGATTCTAGTAAAATTGCTAGGTAAAAACTAAAGATGGGAACACAAGATTCCCTCCAGCCTTTGCTGAAATTTAAGCTATGGGCCCTTTCCCTTCTGAACTTTTTTCTTTTTTTGGGGGGAGGGGGTGCTGTCGTGGGGCTTGAACTCTAGGTCTGGGCACTATCTCTGAGCTTTTCAGCTCAAGGCTAGTGTTCTAACACTTGAGCCACAGGGCTACTTCTGGTTTTCTGGTGGTTAACTGGAGATAAGAGTCTCCTACTTTCCTGCCCAGGCTGGTTTTGAACTGCAGTCCTCAGATCTCAGCCTTCTGAGTACCTAGGATTACAGGCATGAGCCACTGGCACCCAGCTGGACTGACTTTTGAGAAAGATGTAATAACACCTCAGAAAGCAACAGAAAAATTTCTAGTTTTGCTTGAAATATTCAGGTCATGATTTTAGAAAACATTTTCTTTAGTGATCTGTATAATTTTGCCTGCTTTTAATTTTGATTTCTATTAGAAATTGGGCAGACGTATGTTCAGAAACCAAAGCATAAATACCCTTTGGCTGTCACAAGCCCTAGTTCAGGGAAGCACTTTGGTGTCTTCTCTCAGAATGGAAGTGCTTTGTAAAGGGATGGCTGAGTTTATGAAAATAGTATCTTTTCATTTGTAAATGGGCAGGATCACTGTCAGGAAATGTGTATTACAGTTGACTATTGCCACTTTTGTTGGAAGAGATGAAAGTATCTTTCAGTTAGCTTTCACCTATCCCAAGTATAAAATAGTGCTTTGAAGCATTTTCTGTATTTCAAAGGTGTTTGTGTAGTCCATGAGGTTTCCTCTTTCCCCCACCTTCCCCACTGTAATTGTTGATGAAGATAACCTGCAAAAGAGATATTGCCATATATATGTCAATAGTAATACTTGAAAATAGTTTAATATCTTTTATCCTACTACCAATATTATAGCGTTTCAAATACATTTTGTTGGATGGTGGTAGTTACTTTCTTGGTCTAATTATATGCATGATTTTGAAGCCAATATACTGAAAGAATGAGTTTGCAAAATCTGGTTTAATTCAAACTGAGGAGGGGAAGGAAGCACACTGTGAAAATACATATGCATAAAAATCTAATAAATGCTAGACAAACAACATATTACTTTACAATAGAATAACCACAAATTTGAAGGCTCAAATTGAGTCTGTCAGCTGTAAATACAATTTTATATTTGGCTCAAGTGGCTACTCAATTTCAAATGGTGCCAAGTTCCTCCAAAGCACCTCTTGACCCCCTCAGCCTTGGGAGGAGTTTCACCACAGTCTCAGACGAAATCCCAGTCATCCCTTCAACTCTTGGGGCCAATGGAATCATTGGTACCCAAACACAACTGGAGGCCAGGGATTTCCAGTGGCCACAAGTTATTGCACAGAGAAGTCCATTCTAAGCCAGACTCATGGCTAAGAAGGTGTGAGATTAGCCCTTTAAACAGTGGTCTAGCATTAACATGGTCTATGTTAAGAAATAGCTCCTTAGTGAGAATGTACCAATTACTAGTTATCACACCAACAGAAAAAGGCAACATGGCAGCTTCACATTTCACATGAAAGACTAGCATTAACTGGGCCTGGCTTCACTCACATAGAGTGATTATTTTATTTTAGACCCAAGAGAAAATGAGTTCATACCAGTCATTTCTTCACATAAGATTTGTGTAGCATTAAAATTGTTTTACGCTAATGATGAGGCCATGCAGGCAAAAATGTGTAATTCTCCTCTGCCAAAACAGAAACACCCCGTTTCGACTTCTGTCCAGTTTCCAAAAAAACAATACATACATACACCTTTGTTATTGCACATCTTTCACACAAATCTGTGTATGTATTTTATATAATATATATATTTAAATACACTACACATAAAAAGACTATGGCACTTTACAGAATACATGTTTAACAAAGATCATTCATTACACCACAGATGTTTGAAATGATACAAAACCCTTACATCATTTAATGTAACATTGTGAATTAAAACACAGGTTTAAAGAATCCACAGACTCCAAGGCAAATATTTCTGCTTTAGTTCATTGAGAAGCCCAGCTTATCACAAAACTTTAAGCAACAGATGCAGGCAAAATAAATAAGACTTTTCTGGTATTAGCAATTGTTCTATTAGGAAAATAGGTGTGGGTCAAGTGGTTTTTCAAGAGCTGTGTAGAAGAGTTTTGGTCTAGATTGGAATGATTTTTAATGGTCCTTTCAATCCAAAGTAAGTCTGTCTAATAGACTGAAGTTTTTAAAAGACCCAGTATTTGTTTTTAACTGATGTCTGTTGTAGTAAGTCAGTGTTTAGGTAGTTTTTAGTGGTTTAAGGTTTTACTTGTGCAAGTGTCCTTTTCAATCTACTATAACATTCTGACTAATGAAATAATCAGTCATGTGACTGTTGCCAGGTTGATCTAGGACTATACTGCTACGTCTGCCAAACAGCAAGTGGTATGTGTGATATGTTCAGAGGATCCTCTAGGGTTATGACTTGCCTATAAGGAGAAAAGAGATTGTGAGATTAGTGTTAGAGATTTCTATCTTGTAATGAAAAAAATTACTGAGCAAGATTTGCCTGATGACAAAATTGCTTTAAATGTCAAGTATTGCTGATATTGGAAAATAGTTACTAAGTAGGCACAAGGGCTTTGTTAGAACATTATAAATGCAGTCAGGAACAGGGGTCTCATCTATTGGCTCCTATTCCCATTCTTCATGTGCTTAGAGACATGATCCCTTGATTGCCTAGGAGGAAACCTCTTTTCTGTCTTTGAAAAAAGCTGTATAGTTTCTACTTTGCTTCTTTTAAACTTTGGTTTAAGGTGGTGAACTTACTGAAAAGTGGCATAACACCCCTCTTGCCTTTCATCTGTGAGAAGTAAGATGGTTTCTGGTGTAGCCAAAGACCATAAAGTATGAAACTTTAGTTGCCTCTGCACCCAGGGATAATTCTAAACTCTCAAAGCTTAAAGATGATTCACTAGGGCAAGGTTGTAAAATGAATCAGGGTTACTCGCATAAGTGGTAGTTTTTAGCACACAGTATTGACAGTAGGAAAGAAGGTGCTTAGCTAACTCTTTGTTAAACTTTCAAAACAAAACCTCAAATGAACACATTCATAAAACCAAAAAGACTTGCTTTTAATCCTTCTAGAAGCCCAGCAGTTCCAGGAGTGTTTCTGTACCATTCTGTAGTTCTTAAACCTCACATAATGCCTGACTAGTTGTTTCTGGCTACTTAGGTCATTCTGATTACTATCTTCCTGAATCAATAATATTGATAATTTATGGAAACCAGCTTAGAAGCCCTGAATCCTTTTTAATAGTGGCCTGTGGCTGTTCTTGTTTCAGGATCAAAACAGTAACTCAAGAAGCACCCCCTTTTTTTCTGTAAAGAATACCATTCTGCTGAAGGGGTTGGAAGTCACCTGACTATAGTATGATTTCCAACAGACAGAGAGCTGTCCCTACAAACTCAAGGTTCTGACAGCTCCTTCCAGTGACTATCTAACAAGAGGCCATGGCTGTCCCTGGAAGGACAGCAAGGTTTCATTTGGCAACCAAAGCCCAGTCCTGACCCTAGCAGAACTGTGATCTCTGAGGGAGAGGAGTCAGAGCTGGTTTGGGTACTAGGAAAGAATCTGCACTGGCAAGGTCTTGTAGATTTTTTTCTCATATAAGGTACTGGTCTTTAATCTTCCTTAACTCAAAACTTTCTAAAATCTTGGAGTGACCGCTCAGTTAATCCACTTTGCCCTGGATCCCACTCTGTTCCTGTTTTGCTGTGTCCTTTAACAAACACAACCTGTCCCCAGTAAGTCTGTAGTCTTCCTTTTAATCTTTAACACACAACTTAAAAAAGGAAACCAAAACAGTGACCCACAGACCTCATTCTAAGGCAGAATGCTCACAGGCATACAATTTTAGGGCAGAAATATGCCTCAGATGGCCTGTAGAACTGGCAAATGGTCTCTGTGGCCAGAGGAAGGCTGCGACCACTATTCCATCCTTCATGGAGCCCTGGGGGAGGTGGAGTCTGACAGTAATGCACAACCACAGTCAGGATTCTATACTGTGTTCGAGGTCCATCCCTTCTCATTTGCACTGCATCCAGCCCTATGTCTGGTTGCTCTGCTTAGCCGGATGGTGGCCGTCATTGGTAGCTTTGGAAGGTAAAGGCTAGTTCTCCTTTGATTCAAATGATGGCTGTTCCACAAGGTCACCCAAGAAAGAAAAGCATGTCTCTTCCAAACTAAAGGAGGCAGATAAGGTTTTTCCCCTCTTCGATTTCTTCCTGTACTTTGTCACTGGAAGTTGCGATTTCTGCTTGTGCGGAGAAGACAGCACAGATGAAAGTGAGGACCGTGCCACCAATGGCTGTATAAAAGGCCCATCCCAAAGAGCAGTCTCCAGGTTTGTAGGCAGATGCATAAGGTCCACAGTAGTCTATGGCTTTTTGGCAGCCCCAGCCGGCAGGGTAGAGTATCAAACCGAGGATAAGGAACAGACCTGTGGGACAGAGAGAAAATGAGGTGAAGTCCATGGCTCTAGTCCTGCACTGCCCATTCACACCTGCCTAATGGTGGCCTGGTTTTCTTGCTTTGTGCAGTAGCATCCCTTTTGCAATAGAAATAGCTAGGAGCTTTTTAATGCAATTTAATGACTTAAATCACGTCGTAGCTGGGCATGGTGGTGTATGCTTATAGTCCCATCTACTTAGGAAGCAGAGGCTGGAGGATGGTGAGTTGAGTGGAGTTAGAGACCCTGTATCAAAAGCAGGATACAAACAAAAGGGCTGGGTGTATATAGATCAAAAGAGTACAATGCTTGCCTATCCTGGCTGAAGGCTAACTTCTCAGTTCAACCTCTAGTACTGGAAAAAAAGGAAAAGAAAAAAAAGTATTAGAAATAGTTTTAGCTACTTTTGTACATATAACAAATCCATCAAGTAACTTTTCTAGACAAGTAAGTTAATTTTTTATTTACAGGGCTCTACTGCAATGAACATTTCCCTTTTAAGACAGAGGTTGACAAACTAAGGCCAAATGTGGCTTTATAAAGTTTTACTAGAACATAGCCATGCACACTTGTTTACAAACTAAATGAAGAATGAATGTATTGGTGCTAGAACAGCAGAGCAAATATTCTTGGGTTTTGTCTTCAAACCCTTCACCCCCCCCCCCCCCCCAATTTTCTATCTGGCATTTTTGTAAAGAGTTGTTAACTCTCCCCTGGCCGAAGGGAATTCATACAGAACCAAGTAATCTCAACCTGGTTAAATGGCAGAGATGACACCTGGCCAAACCTTAACCTAAGCCAGCAAGGAATCTTTATCAGTGTTTACCAACAGCCACTTGCATACCTGGAGCAGAGGGGTTTTTTTTTATATGTAAGTAAAAAAGCAAATCACAGTTTTGTAAGGATTTTCTGAATGTCGGAATACTTGTAAGTTCAGCCTGAGTAGACAAGCTCTGCTTCCATTTTGCTGACCCCCATCATTTTCTATTTCAGACAGTTTACTAATACGTAATTATACTGTAACAATTGAGAGATGTGTTTCCTGCCTGATGGCACCCCAGTTAGGACAAGAGAAGTACGTGAGGCACAGGATTTTCTTTGGCACAAGTCAGCTATGAGCTTATGGGTGCCTGGCTGGCGTCACCCCAAGGCCTGCCCCTACCACCCACCAGTGCAAGCTGATCGGGAAGGCCCAGACCCCACAGGTCAGCTCCTTCATTTCAGCTGCATGATGCTGACAGAAGGGTAGGTGGCTTTATTCTTTGTGGCAGGAAAAAACTAGTTCTTCTAAAAACTGACATAATCAGGAGTGCTAAATCCTAACGCAAAGTCTCCTTTGGGATAGTATTTTTATTCTGTGAGTCTTGGCATGCATTTGTTTCTCTTTCTACCTTGAACGAAATTCTTAGGGTTTACCACACCAAAGCTTTCACGTCATGTAGTACCCTCTCACCTACCCCTCCCCACCCCAGAGAACATGACTGCATCTGTAGCAGTACGAGGCCTGAAAGAAGGTTAGGGAGCTGAGTTTCAAGCCACAGAGTACAACCTGCACAGTTGTCAACTGAGGATGGTATCAACTTCTGCATAGAATGGCTTGGGGTCTGACCCACTCCATTCTACCATTCCTGGCTGCACGCAAGGGAATTCACTTATAGGCTCCCTGTATAGGAAACTAGTAGCTCCCCAAAGAAGCCTTTCCAAAACTAAAGGCCTGGGCACAGTGCTCCACAGGCTTGGGTGTGGGAGCTGGCTTGCAATGACTGGAGCTAGGGAAGCTGTGAGGAGCAGTGTGAGGCACCAGCCTATGGAGACCACTCAGGTTCGATTGCTGATGGAAGGTGGTGGGTATCTGCAACCAAGTCAGAGGTTCAGAAGTTCCTATGTACAATTTAGTAGACACATAACAGTATGAAGTTAGGACACAACAGCAAGATGAGGACACGGCTGAAACTCCCTAAATTTTGTGGTTTAGTTAACAGCTCTCAGTAAAGTAAGATGCTGTTTAAATCCAAGTTCTGTCATCTTTTAGCAGAGCAACCTTTGAAAAGGGTGGGGTTTTGTGTGTCAGTACCGGGCCTTGTGTTCTCTATCATTTCAAACATAGCTCCTATTCTGGCTTTTTGCTGGTCAATTAGAGATAAAAAGTCTCTCAGACTTTTCTACCCAGGCTGGCTTTGAACTATTATCTTCAGTTATCAACCTTCTGAATACTTAGGATTATAGGCGTGAACCACCACCACCTGGCTAGAAAAGGTAGGTGTGAATTTCAAGTCTGAAGAATACTTCCTACATTCATAACAAACTGGGACGCAACAAGCAGACAACAAGGTAAAGCCTCTGGCACATCTCTCCTGTGTAAGTGTGCAGGACCAGTTTACTTTTTGAAGGCATTTCAAAAGGCATGACTTGAAGGAGATGCGAGGATAGCAGGCTATAATTTGGCACCTTTGAAAGAACAAAGTTCTCCATCTGAATAGAAGTTTACTCAGCTAGGAGATCTAAAAGATTTAACCATTTTGTAAAGGCTTCTGAGGTCTATGACAAACCCCAGTTGATTCTGTCTGCATGAAGTCTCATTCAAGACACACAGAGATCTGCCATAGTTTCCTTCGTCCAGGACCTTGGTAAGAAGCTCCTTGGGGCAGGCCCTAGGCAAGAGCACTGCTCTTCCCCTTTAGGTCAGTGTTCTTATTTTACAGTTAAATATTCACATTCACTGGCAATCTGCTAGTGTCTGGAAAGCATTGTGCTTGCTGCCATAGCATCCCTGTCTCCTGTGCTAGATATGCTCTGGCTACTTCAGTTCGGCAGCCCGTTAGGGAGCAGGCAGCTTTAAAGGGCACAGTCCTTCCTCTGGCAGCCTGTGGAGCCCAGAAGCACTTCCCCCCATGCCATTCCACTTGATCACAGCGCAGACCTAGCTCCCCAAGTGGTTGCCATCGGCTTTCTTTTTGAATAAGGACAGCAGAAGGCTCTTCCATAGTTTCTCAATCTCTACATGGAGAATGTTCATGGCTCAGCTCTTGGTCCTCTTCCATGGCTACAGTGCCCTGTGGATTGCATGTGGTCCGGTGGCTTTAAATACCCATTGCTACTGTCTCCTGAATTATTATCACCAAGTTTAACTACAGCTTCCAAAAGCCTGCTTGATCTCCACCTGGATGTAACAAGGTATTTAAGCTTATGTCCAAACCGAGCTCACTCCATTTTCACCTTGGCAACCTCATCTCAGCAGTCTGAGTCCCTTGAAAGTCTCAGCTTGAGTATAAGTGGACGTGAAGTCTACCTGGGAGAGTGATGAAAAGCATCAGTGGTCCATTCCGCCCAGCAGATGCTAAGGGGGCTGGAACCACCATTTCCCCAGATGGGGAAAGAAGAGTGTCTTAGCTCTTCTCAGTGACTTGGGGGTGGAAGGAGAGATCACCTTGTGTAGTGACTTTGGTACCCACAAGTTAACAGCGCTATCAATTAGCCAGCCAGTGGCAAGAAAATGCAAGGTCAAAGTCTGCCATCAACACTGGACTTCAGGTAGGCAAAAACCACATTATTTCTCTTGGTATTTAGATAAAGCCTCCTCTATCAAAGAACTCTAGAAAGCTTGGTGATTCAAGTGCCCCTGTTAAGGACTGACACAGAAAGGTAGGCACTTGCTTGCCTTGACCTTAACCTTACTACTGGTATCAAAAAAGGAAGTGCAAAGAGGGTTAGTCACTTAGACTGCCCTGCACCTGCTACTCCAGGCTGGAAAACAGTCTTGCCACCTTCACAGAGGGTAGCTCTCCTGCAGGCCACACAGGATCCTTCCAACCCCCGACCCCCAATGACCTCTACTACCTTAATCACATTATCCTCCCAGCAGTTGAAATCACCTGCACAGAAATTTCCTGTCTCTCTGAAGAACCTAAACATGTGCTTTGGGTTTGATGCAGGTAATTACGATTGTGGTTCCCAAGAGAAGGAACTGTACCTTATCACTACCTTCCAGTTGCCTAAGGCTTGAAGGGACTTAAAAACTGAAACACACCAGAAATAACCACAGTCCTATTTTTTCTCAACAGCCATCATAGAGTGGAAAAGACAAGCTGTAAAATTGAAACCTTCGGCAGCCTTTCTGCCCTGGGGTCCAGTGTATTTTAATCACAGCATAGGTAGGAAGGATGGACACTGGATCCAATGGCACCTGACCTGCAGCGGGTGCCCTCAGGCTTCAGGGGTGTTGTCCATAGCCAAGTGTAGAGAAAGGTTCTATAGCCGTCCTATAGCCTTTCCCTCCTCGTGAGACTGCACCATACAACCGCTGTACTTTCTATTTGTTGACCAAGAAATGGTCTTCAGGCTTCCAGTCTTTGTGGATCACCTCCTGTTTCAAAGGAAGGCATTTTCTGCCTTACCAGAGGTCTACCTGCCAGTTCCTGCTCTGGGAATATCTGAGCATGTGAGTCTGCAGGTGCCATGCTCCTCCTCCTTCAGACAATCCTCCAGACTGAATCCCACACACACACATCAGGCCTTAGTCTGCACAGGGAGCCACAACATGGAACACCTCTGTCAGCCATTATCAAGAGACACACCCTGAATCTATGAACACCCTAAGGACACAAATTAACGTCCCTGAGGAAGTAGCCACAGCAAGCCACTGAGATCAGGCTGAATAATAATAATGGGAGAGTGTGGCCTCCAAGGAGACAACCTTGGAGGAGTGCCACAGAATTTGTTGTCTGCCATATTCTTGGCTGAGTGCCAAAGGTAAGGGGACGTCATCAGTGTCATAGGCTTCTAAGCAGCAATACTCAAGAATGGGTCACACTACGTGGGCCAGCAACCTGAGTAGGTACATATTTGTTGTTGTTTTAAATCATGCTGACTCCTTGAGTTTGCAATCATCCAGAAATACTCTCCATCCCAGTCCAGATGTCACCTCTGGGAAACAATTGTCACTGCTTCCCACAGTGCCCCCACTGTCCTATGAACCTGCCTGTAACACACTG